CACTAATTCTTTTATTTTCTATGATATTGAAGTTGCCGTTGAGTTTTACGTCTTATTTTAATTTTTGTCTATTAAGGAAAGTGTTCACAATAGGACCAGCCTGCATCGGTCAAGAACAACAAACGAAGTTCTGATAATCAGTCCGTATTGGACTAGAAATGGAATCTTTCACCAACTGGCTGTCTAGTTTCGATTTTTAGAAGTCCTAATAATCTATCCCGAACAAATTTAGAGTGTCTATATTTTAAAAAATTAATTTATTCATACATCAATTCCTTTATAATTGTCTAATTCCACTTGTATAAAAATGAGAATACGAACTGACAGTAGAAAATACTTGCAGTAACGATCGGAGCGTTGGAGTATACATCTTAAAAATAATAAACAAAAACATAATTATAGTATTTTATTTCAAAAAAGTTAATCTGTGGTATCTAAATAAGCAAGTTTGAAAATATAAATTTGAACTTCATCAATTATTACAATATCACTCGGTTCATTTAAAAATAATAAATTTCAAAATCTGTTACACAAGATTTTTCCTTTAAATATATGAATAAATTTATATGTACAATTCGTTCATAGCAAAATTTTGTCTTTGTGGGAGAATACTTGATTGGGCCACACACTTCCTTACCATCACGTTTCACTGCGTAAGTTTATCCAGACTTCTTTGCAGCACATCTTACCAGAACTTCTTCAAGACATTCCCTCTAAAACAGCGCGCTACAATATGATGCTCCAGTACTTAAATGATATCTTTAGGCATCGAATGATTGGGAAAGAATGTCCAGCTCCTTGGTCCTTAAATCTCTTGACCTTACGTTTTACGACTTCTTACTCTAATGATACGTTAAGGGCTCGATGTAAGAACACCAGTGGATACAAAGAAACTGTCAATCCGTATCATTTCAGCTTTTGATACTATCGGAGACTAACAAGCATTCTTCGAGAAAGTGAGACTAACCATACAGATTCGTTGGAGTCTGTATAACGAAGTTGGCGGTCGTCACTTCGAACATTTATTTTACATACCAGAAAAATATCATTAAAGTTTAAATGTATTGTATGTAGCTAATGTCAAAACAAACCATACACAATAAGACAGAGAAGGTAGATGCACAGGCAGGATGATGATTGCACGACAAACGAGTCCAATTTTATGCAGGTTATACCTCCTCCAATTTTTGTTTCTGATCCTATGTTACATTTTTTTATAAAGTAATCTATTATAAAATGTTAATCTCATTTACCATTTAAATTTATGTGACGTCAAACATTAACACTTTATAAAAATTGACAAATTATTTGGAAATAAAGTCTTAAAATTACAGCACCTCTTTAAAAAAAAATTAAATATTAGATACGAAATGGCCTATGTTATAAATAAAAGTGAAAATAAATGCAAGTTAATGAACATTTCAAATGTTACCATTTTTCTTGACTAATATAAACTAAACGCCTTAGTCTTTCTTTCAATTTTTTAATATATATTATTATTAATCTACGATATTCCCTCGTAACAAAGATTAATGCGTTTCTTCCTAATATTTTATGAATAATTTTTTAACATAAAATTATAATGTGAGCGGAAATTTCAAGAAAATTAATGATAAAACTTCTTTTAGGAAATTCAATATTGTACTGTACATTATTTGTAAACATTCTAAAATAAAATGAAAAATTATTTAAGTATAGCCTTTTAAACGTTATTTTTCATAATTGAGCGTTTATCAAGTTATTTCAACTATAAATAATCAAATGCAGAAATTAATACGTACAGTACGTAAAAGTGATAAGAAAGTTTAATATTTTAAAATTCAATAAAATTATTAGAATAATTTTAAATCATTTAACATAAATAATTTCATATCAATTTTTTTCATTATTTATTTATCTTTCCTCAATCGTTTATAATTACTGAGTCTGAGTAGAAAATATCTATACTGTATATATAACCCATTCGACGGGTGTCCGTCCGTCCGTCCGTCCCGTAACCGTTTAATAACGGATACTAGAGGCGTCCCTATCGTGTGTCATATTTCAAACATTCAAATTAACAATTTTAATTCTTATTTAAATTAACAATATGAATTATTATTATTCATTTGGCCAATAAATTATTATTTGGTCAATATAACAATATAAATTATTCAGTATATTTGTAATAGGAATTTATTATTTCAGGGGCTTATATCTCGCGAAGGGTCGCGAATAGGGGTATGGTTCATTTCCCTTTATTGTTCGCACACGGGGCTACACTTTGGGGGGTCGCCACCTCTTCACCTAATCTTACCATTGGGACTTTAACAGAGCTGTACAGCATATTGATAGGAACAAAAAAGTCAAAGGAACCTTGCTTCATGGAAATTTGTAAACAACGCCCACTAGGGGGCGTCCCAGGCTACTAGTAGTAAATACTGTAATATATAGTTTATGTTATTAATTTACAATAATCTTAAATTAAATTTTCAAAAAGAGATTTTATAGAATATTTTTGAAACTTTTCAAATAGTTACAAATCTTGAGCATTCAAATGCTCACTTTTAGTTTACAATTTTTATACAGCGGTTCACTAAATGATAAAGACTGTTACACCACGTAAGAAATGCTTCGATGATAGAAATCCAAATGATTAGAAATTCTGAAACTTAATAATGATTTAAGTTTCAAAATTTTTTTATCTATATTCTAATCTGTCCGTTTCATAAAATTTAAAATTATATAATTAATAATACTATCATTTTAAACGTAAAATTAAATAATTACATTTTAAAATAGTTAATTAATGGATTGAATTGATAGATTAGGCGATGCAACACTTGAGCGATCTGCAAAGGAGAAATGCATTGGCAGATTGTCCTGCCTGAAACACTACCGGAAATTATCTCCTTATTTAGGTGTTACACACGCGAAGAAAATCCAGAAAACTCTACGTGGTCAGTCATGTTGGTCAGGCTCGAACCCGCAACCAAATTACCAATGTTCATAGGTTTTATCCACTAGAACACTGATGAGCGCAGAACGGTCATTGGTAATTTGAGTCGTTGTCAGTCCATACGTTCTCAACAACGACTAACTGTTCTTTCGCTATCGTACAAACAGATTTTTTATTTTTGATTTTTATATCCAAACTTTAAAAACCGTTAAAAAACAATATTAAGAATTGTTTAAAAGAAAATATTGATAGAATAAATATTAACAATATATGGTTTAAACTTAAATTACATTGTATTTAAATGTTATTATTATTATTCAAGAACAATTATTATTTCATTGAAAATTAAAATAATGTTTAAAATATTTTAAAATTATTAATAATTGTTTATAACAAATGAATTCATTCAAATTCACTTAAAATGAACTAGTTAAAAAAAATTTAATTCGATTATTTTTATACGAAAATGCGTTTTTAGAATAAGAAAAACATCTTGTAGTCCATTAAAATTCTTAATAATTAAAATAATTTATAAATAATGTAATGATATACGATGTAAATAATCGAATGGCTTCTTTAAATAAAGTAACCATTTCGAAACATGTAGAGGACATTTTCGTAAACGAAAGTACTAAAATTCACGCTGTAAATAAATACTTTATTTTCACAAGGCATTCACGCAATACGGAGACCTTAGCGAAGCAAGGAATAATGCTCAATGTGGTCCTCATTCTGAAGGTGGTAAACAGTAAGTTTAAAGTTCGACCATAATTGATTCTCTATGATGTTTCTCATATACTCTCTTTCAAGGCTTTTAATTTACAACATGCCCTCAACAAATCAAGCTTTTTAGTGTTTTCATAATAATAAAAAAAAAACTACACGAATTCAAATGCCTAAAATGTCACTGTGTACTAATTTGGCCAGTTTTGGGAATACTTTTTTAAAATTCATTTCAAAGAAATGGCTTTAGCATGTTCTGAAATATCAGCATACCAAATTGATTGCATTTGGACAGTTAAATGTCATTTTAGACAGTGTTGAATAGAGTACTTTAATTACGATTTCTAATCCTCTTCATCACGGACTCATATGCTACTTGTTTATGTACTGTACAGTACTGTACATCATTCAAATATTTATTGATTTTTAGTTTTCACATTTTATTTCAACAGAGAAAAAGAGTTTAAAAGTAAGATTAATTAATTAAATAAAATAAGAATGTATTAAAAATTAAATTATTTTTATATCGTTTAACAGAATCTTTATCAAATACTTCTCTTCTTACACCTTTTAAGTTCTATACAAAAGAAAATATTTAGATATAAAACATAATAAATATTAAAAATATGGCATCACTCGACTTTTCCTCCTTTTCGTTTTCCAAAATTTAATATTTAATACTTAAAAAACAGGATAAATTATTTCTTAAATGTTAATAAAAATAACCAATTTCTTTGTGAAATTTAATAAATTCATTATAAATTCTTTTCATTATTCGTTACCTTTGGATTTCTGGTTTTAATAATACAGTAATAAACAATGTTTTAAACCTTACTGTATTATACATTAATTTACGAACTAAACCTCCCAATCTTGACGATTCCTAATTAATATTAATTAACTTCCATCATTCTCCAGATATGAACTACCAGTTTTTATTTTATTTGATATTTTTGAGCTTCGAATTTCCTGTAAAAAACACAAGAAATATTTGAACAGAAAGAAAAATCGTTAGATAAAATTTGAAAAAAATTAAATAAAAATATAAATAAGCAAAGACAAACTACAGGAAATCAATTCGATAGTAATTTTCGATTTCTTACGTAGTAATTTAACGCTAAATAATAATTTTCTACTTGTCAAAAGTGAGAATCAGAAAAATCAATAAGTCTAGAAATGTTGGCATTGCCCTACTAGATTCGATGTGATTGACCTAAACCTTAACAAATTTTACGCAATAAATTATGATTCAGAAAATCTAAGAACATTAAAATATATTTTCTACCAAGAATTACCTTTTATAAAATTGAAAAGATAATTCTCGGTACTATTAGCTTTTCTTTTTCCCCGATGATGCGTGGGAGCAAAACGCACGTGCTCAATGGTAATTTGTGACGTCGTCAGTCCACATGTTGCCATCAACGAAGAATGGTCGCCTTTCGCTATTGTCCGAACAACTTTTTTTATTTTTTTATTTTCACATCGACTGGAAATGTCGGCTATTCTGTAAGTATATTTAATTCATATCAATTATATATTTTCATTAATTATTATTATTATAACTTTGAAAATAGTTTATTTATTTATTTTCTAAAAGTCGAACATTTTGTCTCTTAAAAATAATTTATTTTTATGACTAATTGTAGAAAATTAACTAAAAATTACGATTTTAATATTAAAGACTCATTTTTAGTAATGATAATTTAAATATATATATATAGTAAAAGTACTGTACATTCGAATCTAAAACATTATAAAATTAATAAAATAATACTCAATTTTATACTGAAATATTAATTTTCATTAAAATTATATACATTAATATAATATTACTTAGTAATTTTATATTAATTATATTAAAAAATTCAATATATAGGTTAAGTCTTGAGTGAATTTTAATAAAACATTTATATTTTGACTGCATTTTCAAATCTTTTATTTTATTTGCACTTTATATAGTTTGATAACTTCCAAGAGATTAATTTAATTCGGTAAATTTACATTTGAAACAGTAAAAAGACGTCTTAGAAAGGTCTTTGTCCTTGAATTGGAAGACTTATAATTTGATAAACGAACTAATATCATGAGAAAGTAATTTATTAGTGTGTGATCGATAGAGGGTAGGAATGACGAAGAGAAAAATTAGGTAGCCTGTAATTTTTCATTAGCCTATAATTATATAGTGTTGCGTTAATGGAATTTTTCAATGTTTCTAATATAAACCTAATTTTCGACTTTATATAAAATTTCAAAAAAAAAAAATTAAAACAAAAATTCTTTTTGCGATTTAAAATTGAATTACCTAGAATCAATTTACTTTCTACGTAATTTTTAAGATAGAAATATTTAACATTGTGTTAATATTTGAAAATAATCATCTAGATTTTCGTATTAAACATTCTGTAGCACAAATACGAAATTTTAAACGTAGAAATTGCCTTAGTATAAATTATTTTAAATAATTTATATTCTATTATTTAATATTTAATCTACAAAACTTGTAGAAAAAGTTTCTATTAGCATCAAACTGTGGATGTTTCGCTGACATCAATACTTCAAATATCCAAGCAAATTAAATTTTTGCACGAACGTATGTATCCCTGTTCGATCATGAATAATAAAGTAGAAGATATACAACAACGAATAGTTTTCTGTATAGAGTAGTTCCATTTTTTCACCATTTCGTATCGACCACACCCAATTATTATGACAAAGTAATTTGATATACGTACTTTTATGATCGTCTCAGCAGCATCATAGGTCATTGCGGGATCAGAAAACTAATTCAAGGTTTATAGGAATTAATTTTCTTGTATGTAACATGCGAATCGTTTTTAAAACTTCGCGAAAACCAGTATAAAAAGGTGCAAAACAAAGTTTTTTTTTATTAATTTAAGATACAAATTTATACATCAACGATTCAATGAATATGTTAACCATTTGTTAAGACAGTCTCATTTAAAATTTAAAATATAAAGTTTAAGTAAATAGTTAATTTTAAATTATTCAAGTAAAATATTTTTAAACAGGAGCTAAAATTTTGATTTTCATTTTAAAATCAAACATTTTAACACTTTAAGATAGTACAGACTTTACTGTTTATGGGGCTTTAATTATTTTTATAATACTTTTTCTATGTGTTAATATATAAAAATTGTCCTTATAGATTTTGAAAAATCTTATAAAGCAATAAGGATATAATATTAAAAATATGTTATGCACATAAATATTTAAATTAAATATCGTTTGTTATGGGCTTCATTTAACAAGTGACAAAACCTGTGGGCTACAATATAAAATAAAAGGAAAATTAATGCGTTCTGTACAGTAAAAGTAGAGTCTTGACTAGTTTCGTTAATGGATCATTTCCAAGATATTCCTACCTTGTTTATAGCCTTACATAAAAAAGTGACTGCTTCAAAATTACATGGATCGACAATAAAACTGAAGTAATGGTCCAGTTTATGCGGTTAATTATTAACATTTATAATGAATGTTTTTGCTTTAATTATAGTTAAAATGTATATTAGTAATATTGACATAATGCAATTTTCACTTATTTATTTTGCTTTCTTTCAAATATTTGCCTTGGATTTATTTTCAAATATTAAATTTGTTGCTTTTCTTTATACTTACGTACAAAAATATTATAAATGTATATGAAACTCGTTTATTTAATGTGCTAAAATGAATTTTTCCCTACCAAATAATATTTCGATTACTTCAAAAGTCATTTTAAAGCATTCAAATTTAATGTCAATTCAATTAAATTAAAATTAAAGTTTAAATTATATTATATCCATTCGTATTGAATAATTTATATTCATTTTTAAGTCTAATTGATGGATTAATATAGTTTACCTTAATTCACTAATTGATTAAACTAATAAATATAAAAAAGAATATGACACAAGGATACAGTATTGATTTTATTTATATTAAAGAATAAATTATAAAAAATAAATAGATAAATTATGTTTAAAAAGTTTAGACTTTATTCTACAGTTTAGGCTTTAAAATATTGCATTTAGTATAAATATTATTAAATAGAAGATAATTAATTGTTCTTCTCAATAAAAGTATTGTGAAGATGAAGAGTCCACTACAGCATCGACTTCGTTTTGGTTAGAACAACCAGTGATAGCGGGATTTCGAGTTTGGCACATACTTTTCCTTATATTAGCCGGAATTATAGCAGTCAGTAAGTTATCATTTATTAACTATAAAGAAAAATCATTTGTACCATGTACGAGTGTATAATAAAAGGAAAAATTCAACTATTTCAATCGAATCATCGGATCCTATAGCTACAAGTGTTTAATGAAATAAGAACTTATAACTAACTTATGTTATCGGAATGTAACTTATATTATCTATTAACTTATATCATTNTAATTTTACATTATAATGATTAAATTGTGACTTATCAGAAATATATTGTTTTATTGAACTCAATTAGTTTCTAAACCTGGAACACAACTCATGACTATATTTTGGTTTTAATACTTTTAAATTTATAAATTTTGAAAACCAAACTCGTAAAATAGTAGAGAGATATCTCCCGAAAAGACTTTTATAGGAAACTGCCCCTATTTAGGTGTTACAAACGTAAAGAAAACCCGGTAAACTCCATGTGGCCAGTTCGTTGGCGAGGCACAAAATACCAGTGTTTAGTGGTTTTATCCACTCGGCCATTGGTGGGCCATAGAATAATTAGAAAAATTAACATATATAATTTTAATTTAAAAAATGATGTTTACAATAATTTAGAAAAATTTGCTTTCGAATTTTAGTAAATGGAATTAAAATAATTACCAGGGAAAGCGCTCATTGACTTTCACATATGTGATAAGCGGAAGATCGTCTCTGGGATTCTGGGGGACACAAGATGGAATCCGGGCTAGCAACTCCAGAAATTTTTTATGGCAGTCTATTCCGAATACGTCGGTCCTGCCCCTCATCATCCAACCTCCCCATTGGGGCTTGGCCGAATCCACGATGAGAGTGGAGGAAAAAAGTCCTCATTTTGTCCACAAACGGGAAAAAGCCAAAAAAGGAAAAAACTTTCATACTGTAAATATCATACAATATAAATACAAAATAAATAAAGCTACTGCATCCTAGTTTTTTTATTTATGCTATACTCATATATGTATAACGAAATAAGATATATACAGAATAGAATTCATTTTTGAAGGTTATGTTATCTGACTGAATTTTAAAACATTAATATATGTTATTTAGTCTAAACAATTATGTCAGATATAAAATCTAAATATAAGTTAGATATTGATATTTGACGTTTTAAAAATCAAGCCAATAAAAGAAAATAAGCGGATATCTAATATTATTATCCATTTTTAAAAAATTACTCATTGAAATTAAATAAAACTTAATTCTTATTAATAATATATTTAAAAAAATTTTTTATTGTTTGCAAATGATTCCTATCTCTAATATTTACGTGAGATACGTCTTACTAGAGGAGATACTCGGAGAAATTTGATCTTGTTCTCTTGACATTGTAGAAAATTTTAAAAAAAAGACCGTTTATATTCACATATAGTTTTTATTATAAAGCATATTAAAGTATATTGTTTTTAGTTTTGGATGAGGCAAAATAATTTCATCAAACATTAGCCGTCATTCCAAAGGGAAGGAATGGCCGACGAACGTAAACCTACTTGAAAACTTCAAAAGCTGAAGCGAAAAACCAAATTGTGAGTTCATTTAAATGATTTATTTGCCACAACTCAAAGTGTCCCTAACGAAGGTGTGTCAATATTTCCGGATATTGAAATAACACGCTACATACCTCTATATGTTTGGGATTACTGTACTTCAAAATGTTCCAAACAAAAATAAATAAGTTTGAAGAGATACATACATTCCTAATATCATATTTCGACTACATTCATTTGATTATTTGTGTAGGTTACTTCCTAAATTTTTAATATATTTACTTAATTTGTAAACATTAAAGTTTGGGAATATGATATAAAATAAATGCTGCATCACTCTTATGGAGACAATTATTTGATGCAGCAAGTACAGAAATATCTTGGTATGGATGCCAGTTTCACTGCATCCCAGCGATACGTACACGGATGACGCTATTTTCCTTGTTAACAGAAACTTCCGTGTTTAATTTTTGTATAAATGGTGAAAATTATGCACTAAAACTTATAACTATTTTTATTTATTAATATTAGATTACTTATTGACAGAAGAAAAAGATATAAGCAAAAAGTAAAAAATAACAAAATATAATAGGTTATTATGGTTTCTGCGAATTAATAAACAATTAATAATACATTTGATAATCATAAATATTTACAATAGATTTTTTTGTGTAAAAAAACTATTGGATCTGACAGCTTGATGTAGATTCAGACACATTGAAGTACCTGAAAGTGTCCGCCCGGACAGGTTGAGGTAGTGGACGCACTGAGGTGTGACACCGGCCGTTTCACTCAACAACTGTTCACTCTGGATGATGGAAAAGTACGAACTAATCGATACGAAAAGCGCACTCATCGCGTGACATTACAAAAGCTGGGTATCAGTTTGGAAACTTCATCTAGACATTACAATTAAAAATATAATAATTAATAGTGTAAAATAACCCTCACAAGTTATTTTCCATTATTTAAATATATTAAAAGAGGTAAACAAACAAACTTTCTTCTTTATGTGGCGTAAATCTAATAATCTTATTTACTTGTTTTCATTTAAAATTTAATTAAATATTTAAAATTCTCCAAAAAAAACTAGCAATCTAGTTATTTAGTGTAAAACTTTTTGTGAATTTTATTATTTAAGAAACATTATTTTCGTAATAAAAAGATCAATAAATATTTTAATATTTTATTTAACTTCTCGATAACTACAGATATAATATTCAAAGTATTAATAATTATCAACATCATCATCAATTCATCATCCAGGGCTGAATTAGCACTTTCGACACTCCCGGTTCTATATTTTTTACAAGGATCTCATAAAATATTTAAAACTAGCGTGTAGGCCCGGCGTTGCTCGGGCAAAAGTAACGATAGCGAAGATTAAGAGTATTACGTTATAGCCAACCTTACCCGTTTTCACAGAATGTAAGAATTGAGTCCCCGTTTCCAGACTAATTAGAGAATTTTTAGATGGGTCTAAAAATATGTTCGATTTCTCGCAAAAACGAAAAAACCTGCATCTGCGTCTTGCACGTCGCTTTCTCTTAATAATTTCATTGTTAAGTAACACTTCCATTGTTGATGGAAGTGTTAAGCCTTAATCCTGTCTCTCTCCCCGGGGGGTGAATTTCGAAAAATTCCTTCTTAGTGTGCGTTTTCGTGACGTACTCTAACTGTGTACCAAATTTCAACTTCAACTCTTAATTCGATTTAAAATCATCACTTCAAAATATTGTTTAAAATGTAGTCTGTGATTTTATTCATCGATTTTCCTAAAATAAAACTTATTTCTTTTGACTGAGCCTTATCGTTTATTAATATATTTAATGCTTTATATATTTCTTCGTATCAGCATCGGCATGTGCAAATCAACGAGTTTTTAATATAATTTTTACGACTTTCTGAAGACAGCCTAATTGGAAATTATAACTACCAACGATGAGAGGAGATAGAAAAATAATTGTCAAATTTTATGTAAAATTAAACTAACTCAAAACAGAGTAATTACATTCGACTGCTTGCAAACCATATATACGAGTATTATACTGTATTTAAATAAATTTTTTAACTTTTCTCCTTCATAAAATCCTGTTTATTTCAAACTAGAATAGTACTCGGTCCTATATAATACCTTGCAACTGGTGGAAACCAACCCACGTCAGACCATGCGAGAAATGAGTAAGATACTTGATTGTAACCAGTCCATCCTAGTTAGTCAATTAACTGCTATATAAAAGATCTGCAAGATCAACGTTTGGGTTCCTTACTGTACAATTTGAATGCAAGATCACACATGTCAAGGGTGATCTGGAAGAAGCTGTTTGATCTCGCTGGAGGTTCTTCCTCATTTCCCGTATAGTCTATACATTGCAACATCCGACTATCATCTCTTCCGCTCCAAGCAACACTTCTTGGATGGAAAGAAATTCGCAGATGATGAGGAGATGAAAATAGCACTTGGTGCGCTCTTCAGAAGAAAACAACCTTAGTTTCATTTTGCAGAAATTCGTGATACGCCCAATCGATGGAAGATGCTTGAATGTAATAGCAATTGTTTTCTTGAATAAACTAGTTTTTGTTTTTGAAATAATTGTAGTATAAAACTTTAGAAAATTCCAGAAAATTTTACATCAACCCAATAGATTTTTGACTTAAAACCGAAATTACTATATTTGAGAAATGATCTGCTAATGCGGTCGTGAATAGGTATAAACTGTAAACATCACTTTATTGGAACGATTTTTACAGTTTATTCGTATAATTAATTTATATTAATTACCAAATGTTTTATATTGTTTAATACGTATTATTAAATTATATAAGTTAATTGATCAATATGAATTATACATAATGTAGAATCGACAGAAATTGAGAAATTTTTTGTTTCCAAGTTTAGTCTATAATACTATAAACGTTGTCACTTGCTTTTATACTTTATCAAATAATTTTAACGTAAAATTGTCGTAATTTTTAAAATTTTTATTCTTAATTAAATAATATTTTAAGAAAATTTACTATTAATATTACGTGTTAGTTTCATTATTAATTAAACAAAATTTTAGTAATATTTAAAAGCATTTATATTGATAGATGTTAATGATCAATGATATGGATTTAAGACAACTTATTTATTTGGTAAGAGCACAAATACGACTTTTCTATTGAATAAAAAACTTATTCTGATGATAAAGGAATTTAAAAAAGGAAAATAACAATTTAAAAAAAAAAATACTTATGCTATACACGTCAACATTACTCCAGGGACAAGATATCTTTCCAGCATTGCAAATGTATTCGTGCAATGCTGGAAAGATGCAGAATGCATGCGTATATGAATATTGTGCCTTAGTTTCAGTGTAATGTTTACAGTAAATTAATTAATTCAAAAAAGGAATGCATAAATCGTACTGTAGTTCTGCGACAAAATGTGAATTTTCCATCTCTCTCAAATGCAAAGATAGAAGGAAATCATTTTAAATTTAAAAATTGAGCGCAAAGTACAAAGGTGTAAAAATCAACATTGCATAAATTAATATAAAAACAGTTTAGATTTTTTTAGTATAGTATACAGAATACGCTAAAAATTTTTATTTTGATGAGCTGAAAAACGCTTGTGGAATCTACTGTTTGTGAATCTATGCGGCAGATAGACAAGGTGGTGAAGGAGTCAGCCTACCGAATTCGGGCGGTCGCAAAACTCAAGAATTTTACGGGAGGATGGTCTGTCGAGGATGATCCGCACTTCACCTCTCGGTGCTCCATTGTGAAGCTGGAACCCTCTTAATGTCCACAGAGCGAAAATAATCCAAAAGAGGTGTTGGCAAGTATAAAGCATCCTCGCAGTGAAGCAGGCTGCATAATGTTGACTGTTTTATAAGGATATTGGCATCATTTCTCGCCACACGCTTTGCCAAGATAACATTTTGAATTCGCATTTTGTTCTTATCATTGGAAAATTTGCGTTTTGCTACGGAACTAACTAACGGTTTAAATGTTCCTTTTTGAATAAATTAACTTATTTTGCTGAAAACGTCGTTGTGGAACTAATACATCATATATCTGTGCAATGTTGAAAAAAATCTCTTTTGCTTCTAACAATTCATTATATACTGTTTGGATTTTAATTAAATAATATTTACCACCAAATTAAACAAAATCTATATTACATAAAAATAAATTCGTCTTCTTCTGATCTACAATATTTATTTCCATTTGACAGTTGAAATAAATAGAGACCTAGCACGAAAAGCTACCTTTCAAGACTATTTCAAGATTGTCTTACAAACGAAAATTCTCTTTTTATTATTTATACAGATAGAATAAAAATATAAATAATGAGCAATAGCATGAAGCCTTTAAGAAGGCAAGATCTCTGGTTTATTTAATTTGTGATATGCTTATGCATTAATGTGCCCTATCAGTATCACACTTCATCGATGACGAACCCTTGAACAGTGCGATGATTTCAAGATACCAACATTGAATGTTTAGAAAGTATTAGGTTTTTATAAATTATAAAAAAAAAAATTATTAACAAATTCAAAAATTTGCCTATGTACATGAAATCAGATCCTAACACTGTCGTAAAAAATCTTAAAGACCACTAATTAGAACCTCAAATAGAAAAACTTTGATCGAATAAACAACAGCAGATTTCCCATTGAACGAAATATTTGTTTCTGTTATAATCAAATTATTATTTTCTTTTCACTTATAAATAATTTGTAAGCATTTCTGTAAATTTTTAAAATACTCACATGAAATATTTGACCTGAGATTTGTAATTTCTAAAATTCGAATTCAATTTTGACCAACCTTCGGAAAAAGGTTTGCCATCGGCTTAGTATTCTAATCTCAGTCCATCTTTCCAGTCTTCCACGGTTTTTATTTCTATCTACCAAATTTTGTTACAAAGCCTTGAGCTATCAATTCTTTATCTCTGTTCTTTTCATATATAAATATATAATAAAGATATATTTATATATACTATTTACTATGAGAGGCATTCTAAATTCTTTTCTAATATTACTTTTTTCTGATCGGGAAGTACAAGATCTAGTGTAATAAACTAACAAAAAATTTCTGAATTTTTTTACATTTCATCGTACTAGAGAAAAAAGTAAATATACGAGATGACTTAAGAATCAATTTTCAATTGGAATGCAGGTAAGTCTATTATTGTGAACCTCTTGTTGTTATTATGAAAAGTAACAACGTAATTCAAAACTTGCACGTCTGCCGAAATATTTGTTTATAAAACTGTAAAATTTTAATTAATGTAACCAAAAAATTAAGTTTCCGCAAAATGTTTAATTATATCACCTAAAGCTGCAATAATCAACATAAATATACTGTATATTGGACGACGACTTTATAGCAGGTATTTTCAACCTGAGATTCCCGGTCCGCATGCAGCCTCGTAACTTTTTACGGCTTGTATACTGTATTATTAAGATCTTTATATCTATTACGAGGTAATTTACAAGTACGCATTTGGGCATTGTATGCATAGCATAAACAAAAATCCTAGAGTTATAAGTGATGAATTTGAAGATTAGTTATCAATAGGATTCGTAGATTTTCTTTTATATAGAATTTACAATATATAAAATCTGATGTTCGGCCGGATCCTATATCAAAATAATGTCTCATGATACTTTACTATGAAAAATTCAATGCCTGCTTTATGTAAAGCCTAATTGGGCTTCGGCTCAGTCTCATAAAGCATTTCAAAAGCACTCTTGTTAACAGCTGCAACAGCTTAAACTTATTACACTTTTCGAGCTTTAGCTGCGAATAGAATCTTTAAGAATCTTTACATCGTTGTTAATAGAATAACTGAATACAGACAAAATCTTGATGGAGTTGTTCAGTAATTTACTGATTTTTCCGGTAGTATACAGTATAAAGGTTACATCACGTCATAGATATTCCTGGCGCATAGCCTAACATCGAATATATTGATACCGAGGAACTCGAATGCCCCAGAAATCGAATAACTTGTAACATTATTTTCGAGGATATTTTTCCCCAAAATCGATCTTTTGGAACTCGAACACAAACCGATACGGCCATACTCTACTTACCGTATACGGTAAGTAGAGTATGGCCGTATCGGTTTGTGTTCAACGCGAAGCGACACGCAACGGAGAAAAATTTCAACATGGGATAGGTTAATATATTTTTTCGTGCATAATCGGTTATCCGAAACATCGATCTTCCGAACAACCCCAGTCCCTGATTGATTCGGATAATCGACGCTCTACTGTATTATTTTCTTGTTTTATGCATTAATTAAGAAATTTACTTGTGCTATTTTAGCTTAAATTATGTTATCTTAGAATTAAAATGAGCATTTTTGGGGTTTGAGAACTGATTAATTCGGTTTATATTAGTCCTTATGGAAAAAAATTGTTTGAAACTCGAATACCCTCAAGGAAAGAACTGATTTCGTGTTCCGAGGTACCACTGTATATTATTACCTGTTTTTTTAAAACTACATTATTATCTAACTTATCAGGAATTCAAAAATTAGATTGTATAAGCCTAATTTAAGTGATTTAATTTCTTTTATGACTGTTTAATAGTTGATACGATCTAATCTCAATATCAATATCTGAATACTTTATGGACATTCGTACATGTTTAATATAATGAAAATATATAATAATAAGCGCTTCAAAATTTTGTTGTTGATAAGAATTATACTGTATATACATGTATATATAAAATTACTAATACGAAAACTTTTATTTTTAGTTGTATTCTTATGTTGTTTTATGAAATGCCGAATACCTCGAACAAAACAAGAAATAGAAGCAGATTACATCAGAAAAAAATTAACGCGAAGGTTCAGATGTTTTCTGGATCAATTAACTATGGACGATATGAATTTGAGATTGGGTACGTATATTTTGTATTTTGTTTTCATTCTAGTACTTATTAATAAACAAATAATATTAAATAATCCTTCATATTTTATACAAATTTATCATCACAGAAAGTAAACATTGATTTATATCATAAATTAATATAACATATAAAGGTATAAAGTCTGTCTATAGTCAATGAATCAGTGACTTGTTGCCCTTCGTCACTGATACTTTTGGCCTATTGTTTGTCTTATTGTAAAATTATATACAAGTGATACAGTAATTGTAAATTTACTTTATTAAACTGAATGTTACAAGTTTACTGTATGTATTTTAATAAAATATAAATAAGAGACACACATACTACGGTATAATGAGAATATGACGGATAACTGAAAGGCCAGATTAGCAAGAGTGTACTGTATTGTCATTTTATCAAACTGTGATAAAATATTAACTTAAATAAAGGTATTATTCACTCAATACAGATAAGATTAGTTTATTATAGAGATAACATAGGTTATTATATTTATAATTAATAAATTATAAAGTTAATTAAATAAACTGTAAACTGTATTGGTAAAATATTAAACGGTGATATTTAATTTGTAGCTTTGGAAAAAGTGAAAGATCTGTACGACAGCAACGAAATAAATCAGTCAGAAGATAGTAAACTCAGTCAATTGGAAGAAAATAAAACCGAACATTTAGAAAAGAACAAAACAGAACATTTAGAAGATACAAAACTCAATCAAATAGAAGAAAACCATCTCCAAATCGAATAAATTCAATTACCGAACATATCAATTTTCATTTTTAAATTGAAGAGAAATATTTTCTGTAAAAAAAACAAATCAAAATTATAAAAACAGGAGTTGTGCGAGGATTCAAATTTTGAAGAAAAATAAAATTTAAGCACTGAGATTTGTGCCATTTTTTCAATAAAAGAAATTGTTTTCTCACTATAACCGATTGCTCAAGTCTAAAATTTTGGCAATATCTTTACCTTATAAATGTAATAATTTAAGTAAAATATCTAGATATAATTCTTGGTTAATTTTTTTTATTGTCTAAATTTATGTAAATGCTTCGTTGTCTAATCTCATTAATTTATTATCACTTCACATTCTAAGAAAATAATTGCTTAATATTTCAATAAAATAAAAAATTTGGATATTTTTCCATTTTTAAACTTTTTTATATGTATATATTGGTATAATGTATATGTTATGTATAACTAATTGAATGGCATTTTTATTAATAAAAATTTGACAAATGTTTGATTAATTATAATGACGTTAGTCATAATAAATTAAATTAAGCGATTCACAGAAACATCCCCAAAGAAACCATTTTCTGGACATAGATTATGGTTTGAAAAAATAAATAATGATGCTAATTTTGAATAATTATAAATTGATGTTTTGTATTTAATATTTATCTAAAAGAACATAAAACATTAATTGTTTTTAATAGAAATTGCCAGCTTATAGATTATTTGTGAGAACAAAAATTGATCAAAATAAATAAAATATTAATATTCGGTTTTGTATTATAAATTAAATTATCATTGCGTGAAGATAACACGAAAATGGAAACTATTCTATGAATAATAATGTAGGTAGCGGTTCCAAACTTTTGAATATAAAGAATAAATTTATGAATATGAAATATATGTAACAATGGTTTCTTAACGTAAAATTTAGTATGAGCATTTAAATTAGTAATCACTGTTTATTCGAAATATTAAGAAATTAAATTTTTTAATTATAAACTATTAAAATATCAATACATTATATACAGTACGTATACATATGATGCCATCGTATATAATTCATGGCACTGCATTATGATCATATATTGCAACATACATGTTCATATATATATAAGGGGTGTTCAATAAATAACCAGCCAAACGAAACAGCATGAAATAGAAACAATTTATTTCAACAATAATTACCCTGATTGTTAAGGCACTTATGAAATTGTAACGCCAATCGAGTTATGCCCTGTTCGAAGAAGATAGCAGGACACTGATGAAGCCAATGTCTTATATGATCTTGTACTTCAGTGTCTAGGGAAAATCGTCTGCCTTTAATGCCCTTTTGAGTACCCCAAAAACATGGAAGTCGCAGGGTGACAGGTCAGGACTATAGAGAGGGTGCTCCCAACGAAACTGCTGTAGCAGGTACTTTGTCATGTTAGCTGCGTGAGGACGCGCATTGTCATGCAGCAAGATGATCCCATTCTTAAGTTTTCCTGGACGCCTGCGTTGAATTTGTGCGCATAATGCGTGCAAGGTGTTGCAGTAGGATGTCGCATTGATGGTGCTGCCATGCTGCATAAACTAAACAAGAAGAAGCCCCTGATGATCAAAAAACTAACCCACGGTAAGCGCGTTATATATCTGACTTTCGAGTTGCATGTATATTTATATTTCTTGTATTTCTCTCTTTTTACTGTTCTTAAAATTGATTTTATTGTTATTTATAAATCGGCAGGGAAACATCACCTTCCCTGCCGATTTATAAATAACACGCTCTTGCTCTTTTTTTGGGTGGAAGTGAATGTGAGTGTTTCCACTGCATACTGGCACGCTTCGATTCCGAATCATAAAGGAAACACCACGTCTCATCTCCCGTCAAGATGCTATGAAGAAAATCATTACCATGCGAAGTGAAACGCTTCAGATGCTCCAATGACAAGCTCATCCGGTTGCTGGCCTGTTCTTTAGTGAGTGAATGTGGCACCCACTGTGCATATACCTCTTAAAATGCAACGTTTTGTGCAGAACACTGTGTACAGTACTGACACTCAGGTTTACTGCAGCTGCAATGTCACGGACTGTCCGTCTGTTCGCTAGCACTAAGTCTTCCACCATTTGCACATTCTGCGGTGTGGCTGCATGCTGCGGACATCCCGGTCGTTGGTCGTCCTTCACGCTTGAACGCCCTTCCCGAAAATTTTTGGCCTACATCTTCACATCAGCAAGGGTGTATGGATCATACACCTAATGCATTCGCCGATGGATTGCAGTGGATCTGCAACCTTCCGCAACAAGAAACTTGATTACTCTACGTTTTCAACTTTAGAGGTTTCCATTGTCCAACAAAATCCCCCGAACAAATGACTGAGGCTACGGAAGTTCGCCTTATTTAGAGGTATCACTTTGATGAACTGTGCATTCGTATGCAAATTTTAGAGCTGCATTCATCGGCTGTCTATTTATTGAACACCCCTTACATATATAAGGGATGTTCAATAAATAACCAGCAGATTGAGCCATATTGTATTATGCATATATACAGTAAATGCATAATATATATGCATTTACTGTATATATATTATATACAGTAAATGCATTACGTAGACCTGTAAATCATATAATAATATACAGCATCATATATACAGTGGGTGATCGGTTAACGAGCATAATCCGTTCCAAGACTTTGTTCGCTATCTGAATTGTTCGTTATCAATTTACCATTGGTTTGTATGGGAATTTGATTAATTCGTTCTGGAGAACCCAAAAATAAAAAATTTATACTTTCTTACTACGTTTATTTATATGTAATAATATAAATACACGTATACACAGACTTGCATTTTTATTACTCATGTTTTTTTGTTTGTGGGGATTAAATAATCTGTCTAATATCGATTGCTTTTCTTTCTTCAGAATTTTCAGAATAATACCATTGTAATTGTAGAGATCCCCAAGCTTATTAACCTCAACCTAGTTTGTATGCCATTCTAAGACCGTTGATCTGACATCCCCCACTTCTTCAAAAGATCTTTAATTAATAGCAGATATCGGCATTAATCCTCTTTTTCATAATAAAACATACGAGTTTCTCGCCGAGTTTCTTAGTGTTCTTCTGTCGTCAGATCCGTTTCAGTTTTCATTATGAGCTCTTCAATGTTCTTTATTTCTCAGATGTGATTTTTGTTACTCCTTTAGCTGCTTGAGTTTTCTTAATTATACAGTATCTTTCTTAGATAAGATTGAACTGCGCCCTACTGTAGATTTGTTCAAGCCATACTGCCCAGCAACATCAGACATCATCTACCCATTCTCTACCTTTGCTATTATACTCTCACCTTTCAAAAATAAAAACCGACGCAAAACTTAACGAGTGCCCGCCCGACAGTCTCTCGAATACTATAAAAGAATTGTTTGTCAGAAAAATAAAAGGCTGGAATAACAAGGGAGTATTTTAAAGTTCGAGGAATACTATCTGATCAGTATATATCGGGTTGAGCATCGACGTTGACGTCTCCCGCGCTCCAAAAAATTACCTGAAGACAAAAGAAAATCAATCGGTATTTGCTATTTCCGTCGCTTCTTTTTATGTTTGTTCAGTGAAGTGTTCGTTATCCGATCATAAAAATCTTTCGCGAAAGTGTTCGTTATCCGATTTGCTCGTTAACAGATCTGTTCGTTAACCGATCACCCACTGTAAATGTTAACTGTATTATATGTCTTTCAAAACAATATTCACGAATTAAAAAAATAAAAAATTGACAATTAAATTTCTTAGACTGTAACGGATTCTATAGTTACATAATATTTGCATTTTTCTAATAGAAATATTCAAGCTTAAAACTTTATATTCATATTTTTAGATTTACTAGATGTTATTGACATTTAATAGAGTATTTCGATATGTGCAAATCGGACGATTCGCAGCTATAAATTTGGATAAAAAGACATTTTGATTCAAATTATTAGAGGGGAAACAAGCCCGAATGATGTATGATAGTTTTGTGAAATAAAATAGTTGATTTATAAGACATGCATAGATTGGTGATGTTGTTCCAGAAAAAGAATTAAAGTGAATCAAAGATGTAGGCCTACAATGAAAAAGCAATATTGTAAAATTAAAAATCTTTATTTCGTAGTTTAGAGAACATTCGCAAGATACTTTTTAGTTTTTATCTGAATAACGTTTATATTAAAATTTCTTGGAATAGAACTGAAATATGAAAACAGATTACAATTGTAAATCACGCACCACTTATTAACTAACCCACGGTAAGCGCGTTATATATCTGATTTTCGAGTTGCATTTATATATATTTCTTGTATTTCTTTTTACTGTTCTTAAAATTGATTTTATTGTTATTTATAAATATGGTGATGGAGGAAGAAAATTGTAATGTTTTGATTTTAAAGGGATCATTCATAAATTTGTATTTCATATAGCATCATGTATGTATTAAAATATAATAAATATATGATTATTACTACAAATTTTCCATGGCATTAATTCAGTTAACTATAATGGAAGTTAATCATTCAATGCGTTTTTAAACTGACGTTCGAATTTTCATGTTGATGCTCGGCTGTTTTATCCTGAAGATGACAATCTAAAAATAGTCGAAACGTTTGTTTTTATCGTTGTTAGTATATTTTGTGTTGTAAGTTTCTGGTATAGTTACGTGCTTTGGACTTAATTCAGTTTTACGTAGCACGTAGTTATAGTTAAATCATTAATCATAAATTTTAAACTCGTTGCTTGTCGCTAAATATTTTTGCAAAGATCTCCAATACTATTTATCAATAAATATAATGTATAGCACAGGTACAGCACCTTTTAACGAACAATTATTAACTGTGACACACTCATAATACTCACGCTGCAATTTTTAATCGTAGTTTTAATTTATTTGATTTAAATTATGTTCTACATCTCAAATTAGTAGTATCTTGCCCTTGTACATTATACTTTTCTTTTAACAATACAGTTGTGCCGATCGATCTGCTTTCAGGGAAAAATTCTTGAAACGAAATAAATTGACTTCCGATTTGCATCAGTAAGTTTGTTTATCGGGCCTCCTGCCCATAAGCTTTTCTTAATAAACAGAGATCTCTGGTCTCGGTTTTCATCTATCTAACTTCGTTCTCGA